GTCTGGGGGTCTAGCTCAGATCTACTCAACTCAACTGCAGCTGTCATCGTGAGAAGACTAGATTCACTGGAAAAGACAATCATGCTGGGAAAGTCAAAGGCAGATGAGGATGGGAAATACCAAGACAAGATGGATGGACTTCATAAAGGAAGCCACAACTTGAGTGTACAAGAACTGAACAGGGCTGTCATGGATATGACAATTTGGAGAGTTTTCATTCATAGAGTTGTTGTAATTCAGAGATGACTTGATGGAACATAACAACAACAACTCTCTTGCTGATCCTTCGATACCCCTGAACCCCATTTTTCAGAGCAGCAGGCCTCCCTCTCTGTAGGAGAGACTACAATAAGCAAGCAACTGTCTTCCAAGCTAATCCAGTTCCTTTTTGCAAAGTTACCACCCAGAAAATATGTGATTTTTCTAAAATGTTTTTATAAATATAAATAAGCATGTTAAAAGTAGCAAAGTCTAGATATGATCCAATAGCACAGTTGCTTCTGTTTTGAAACCTGATCTAAAACTTTTAGCAGCCACTGGAAAATCTGCTTAGCTTTTCAAGGAATCAACTTGCTGGCTGTGTTTCCATGGAGAATGATGATGTGTTGTTGGAATATCTGCCTGCTCATGACTTTTGCATCTTTTCATGCCAAGAAAATCTTTTCTCTGATTCTATTGATATTTTCACCCTTAACTGCCAAACCGTCTATATTTGTGCATTCAAAAATTGCTCCAAAGATTACAGAATGTGACTATGAGTCAAACTTGCATTTAGCCACACACACACACTCCAGCAGTTTTGCTTGGTGTGAGTAACAGAATATTGAAGAAGTCCCAAAACAAGAAAATCTGGCTAAAATGCAAGAAAGTAGATGGATGATTCAGTCCCCATTTTGGAGCTCAGAAAACCAGGTCTTCATTTTGCAAGAGCAGATACTTCTTTTTCACATGCTCTTCCACCTAAACAATGATTCCATAAATAACATATGCAGATTAAAGGAAGTTTTAAGCCTTGTATACAAAAGCACTTACTTTCTTATGGTAGATACTGTGCTACAGTGCTACTTGGGTTAGAGTTAAAGATCTAAAGAGCCTCTTGATGTGGGTGAAGGAGGAGAGTGCAAAAGTTGGCTTAAAATTCAACATTAAGAAAACTCAGATCATGGCATCTGGTCCTCTCACTTCCTGGCAAATAGATGGGGAAGAAATGGAGGTAGAGACAGATTTTATTTTCCTGGGCTCCAAGGTCACCACAGATGGTGACTGCAGCCAAGAAATTAAAAGACGCTTGCTCCTGGGGAGGAAAGCTCTGGTAAATCTAGACAGCATACTAAAAAGCAGAGACATCACCCTGCCAACAAAAGTGCGTATAGTCAAGGCTATGGTTTTCCTAGTTGCAATGTATGGCTGTGAGAGCTGGACCATAAGGAAGGCTGAGCACCGAAGGATTGAGGCCTTTGAATTGTGGTGCTGGAGGAGACCCCTGCAAGTCCCTTGGACCGCAAGGTGATCAAACCGGTCAGTCCTAGAGGAGGTCAACCCTGACTGCTCTTTAGAAGGCCAGACATTGAAAATGAAACTCAAATACTTTGGCCACCGAATGAGAAGGAAGGACTCCCTGGAGAAGAGCCTAATGCTGGGAGCAATTGACAGCAAGAGAAGAAAGGGAAGGCAGAGAATGAGGTGGCTGGATGGAGTCACTGAAGCAGTTGGTGTGAGCTTGAGTGGACTCCAGGGGAAGGTGGAGGACAGGAAGGCCTGGAGGAATGTGGTCCATAGGGTCACGACGGGTCGGACACGACTTCGCGACTAACAACAACAAAGGATCCATGTAGAATGGAAGGCAGAAAAACTACATTTTGAATTCATATTGGCTTGAGACCAGAACATCTAAAGCAGCATGTCTTCCCATGTGCACTGGCTTGGGTCCTTATGTCATCTTGGGCCCTTAGATCAGCTTCCATATAGCCTCAAGTGCTGATCCTACCTAATCTTGGAAGCTAAGCAGGCTCGGGCCTGGTTGAAATCTGGATGGGTGACTTACTGTTGTGATCCGCTCAGAGGGCTTCAGCGTGGTAGGGATGGTATGGAAATATAATGAATAATGTGATGGATCATCACCACCATCATCTTTGAAGGTCTCCCTCCACAGCCCCTGCCAAAGGAAGTTAGTCAGATGGTTACAACAGAGAGAGCGTTTTTCAGTTGTGGCAGCCCATTTATTATTATTATTATTATTATTATTATTATTATTATTATTATTATTACATTTTTATACTGCCCATAGCCAAAGCTCTCTAGGCAGTTGACAGCAATAATCATCATACACTCAAGTCACCCATCCCACTTCTGCCCGGGCCTGACCCTGCTTAGCTTCCAAGATTAGACAGAATCAGGCACTTCAGGCTACGTGGAAGCCTTCTCCTGGCACTCATGTTGTTACTGTTTTGGCACCAGACAAAGCTCTGGCGAGAAAATGGCACTCAAGGCAGCTGACATGCACAGCTAACCAAGACTTGATTCAAACAAATGCATTGAAAACATAATGAAAAACCCTGCCGCAATAGAATAAGAAGCAGCACCTGTTTCGACACCAGAGGCCTGGCTGAAGAAAAACATCGTTCTGTGCTGGTGGAAGGACCGCAGAGAGAGAACTCCTAGGCTCCCTCTGCAGGGCATTCCACAGGCTGGGAGTAGCCACCCAAGAAGGCCCTCTCTCTCATCACCACCAAATATGCCTCTGCAAGCAGTAGTCCTTTAAGAAGTCCTCTCCCAGAGATCATAAAATCCAGACAGCCTTATGGGGAGGCAGAATGGTGTTCTGTGGGGAGCCTGGCCCTAAGCCATATGCTCAAGGCAAACGTGAGATCTGAAATGGCGATTTAACCATCCAAGGCACGGTCTCTTCGCTACTATACAAAAACAGTTTGCCATGTCTCTATAAAAGCACCTAGGAGTTAATCAAACTTTGTGGATTGTGCCTTCACACACATTCAACCCATTCAATGTGTTGCAGAATTCAATCAAAAAGCGCTCTTCCCAATGCACTGGTGAATTAAAAGATCAGAGTCTGAGATGGATTTCTCTGTTCATCAGAAATAAATTCTGTCTTCACCAGTGTTAGGCAATAAATGTTTCTGAAAGAATGGTCCAATCTTCTGTCTCAAGGAGCAGGGCTCTTTCGTGGCACAGACTGAACTCTTGTTGAGCCAATGGACCTCAGGGATGAAGTGCTCTCAGAGGCAGGAAAACCAGTGATGGTTTAAAAAGAGAAAAACAGATAGCGTGATGGCAACATTTGTGCAGTCGGTAGAGTAACCACGCATGAAATGAGACACTACCTTTCCTTGAGTACTAATGAACATAACTTAGACTTTCCTGAATTAGGGTCTTCCAAATGCTTTGGACGACAGTGCCCATGATGCATTCCACTCTTCAGGCTGGCCGGGGCTCATGGGAGCTGTCATCCAAAGCATCAGAAGAGTACCACGCTGACTTACTAGGTGGGTGCCAACAAGATTGTAGCCAAGGTGCAGCCACTGAAAAAGAGGAGTGACGTATCAACAAGTTCCAAAGAACCTTAGTACTTCTGGTGGCAGACTGAAGTGTCTCTCAGATCGGAAGGAAAATGGGGCCAATCCCAAATAAAGTGATGTTTCCCACATTGCTAGAAGCATGCATGTTTGTGCTTTAAAAGCAAAACTAAAGGACCCTGCTTCCAAAAATGCTAGCAGGGCCTGAGCATGGTTAATGAGCTGTGGGAGCTATGGGTGTTGCATATCAGTCAGGAAAGAAAAGCAGAATGCTTGAGGGAAGGGATTGGATGGGCTGAGCCCCTATCAGCATGGAAGAGCGAGGAAGAGGACTTGGTGGCCAGGCTGGGACGCTGGACAGGACGCAACTGCCTTACACAGCACAGATTTCATAAGTAAAATCACAATGATTCTTATTTGTTGCACTTCATTCAAATTCATCACATTATCTACTAATGTCCACAGTATCTCCAGTGTGTAAAATGGACAAGACGCAGCTCTCATAACATTTTCTGTTCCGTTTCCTCCTAGCGCATCTCTCGTGGGTTGAGAATTGTTTTGGCTCTAAGCCCCAACCCGGGGATCCCTCCTGGAGAAGCACACGACACGAGAGGACGGTTCCCTCCCCCTGGAAGCCCACCCTTTCCTCCCAGAACCCCTGAGTGTCATCTTATGCCTTCATCCGTACACAGGGATGCACTGAGCAGTCTTTCTGTGCCTCTCTGAGTATGGAGAAAGGGGCAGCCTTTCCCTGTTCATCCTTAGGAAACCACACTTGCCTCTGATCTGCTGCAGGAGAGAAGAGCAGGGCTTCCCCTTCCATAGCTAGAAACAAGGATGCCTTTCTGTAGCACTGCAGAGACTCCCCTGCTATTGAGTAAGGTCTGGGGAAGGAGGGGCCTAGGACAGAATCGGTGGTGGGGCGGGGGGGAATGAGGAATCCCTGTGGGCCCCATTCAGTCTGCTTCAGCCAAGGAAATTCCATTAAATTTGCCATTTCTGCAATGTGCCAGGACTGAAGAAGCCATAACTGAAAAGAGGTGGCATCTCTACTTCTAAACAGGTGATGAGACATGCATAAAAGGGAGTAATCTCTGAAGTATTGCATCTGAGGCTGGAAATTCATCTCAGGGATGCTTTCTTGGGGCATCCACTCACAAAGAACATAGTTCTGAGACTTTTCTTCTTCACTACTTGAAGTTCCACCTGTGTCCAGTTCTTTGTAGCAAATGTTTCCCTCATAGAGAAGGCCTCTCCCACAGTTTTGATGTGAAAAGCTAAGACCCAGACCTCTCCGCTACTGCTGCTGGAACTTGTGTGCTTGCATTGATGCCCGACCGTAAGATGAGGTCTCACACTGGTTGTGCAATGCTGACTCCAGTTCACAAAGTGCAGGATGCGGATCATCAACTTGCCTTGCAATGCAACAAGACGACAGAGACTAATTGGTAATTTGGTCCATTGCAGGAGCCGTGGTGATCGCCTTTGTGGTCTGCTGGCTTCCATACCACGTACGGCGGCTTATGTATTGCTATGTGCCAGAAAATCAGTGGTCAGAGTGAGTAACTTATTTCTGAACATGAATTGCAGAACGGTTTCTGGAGGCAGGGGCCATTATCCCTCTGTGCATCCATTGCGCATTCACGTACACCCAGACCGCAGCACGGGAAGGGAGTGAATTCCAGTGCAGATCAAGAGAGGTTTTCAATATTCTGAATAAAAGGAACTTAAGAGATTAAAAGGGGGATGCAGATGGCGCAGTGGTTTAAATTGCTGTGCTGCTGGGCTTGTTGATCGAAAGGTCACCGGTTCGAATCTGCACAACGGGGTGAGTTCCCGTTGCTCCATCCCAGCTTCTGCCAACCTTGCAGTTTAAAAGCATGCAAATGCAAGTAGATAAAAAGGTACCACTTTGGTGGGACGATAACAGTGTTCTGTGCACCTCGGTGTTTAGTCATGCCGGCCACATGACCACGGAGACTGTCTGGGGACAATCGCTGGCTCCCTCGGCTAGGAAACGGAGGTGAGCACCGCCCCCTAGAGTCAGGCATGGCTGGACTTTAATGTCATGGGGAAACCTTTACCTTCACCTTTAAGAGATTAAAAGAATGACCCCATGGCCCATAGACAGCAGGTAGCAGGCCATGGCGCACTTCCAAGACCCAGATCCAAGTTAGAATTCTGCCCTCTGAACTGGCGGTGTGCCTACCTCCAGCATGGAAAGAACCATACCAGCTGCCTTTCTGAAAAATGACCTCAGAGAGGGGGCTGAGGAGGATGGGAGGGGAGGGGAAGGCCCTGACGTTCCTCCAGCTACTTCCTTCCTGCTCCAGTGCATTGCAGCTCGATGGCTGAACTTGGCCAGATTTGCAGCAAGGAGGAGCTGCGAGGTAGAGACTTCTTTTGCCACTTGCTCTGCTCCAGGCTGGACCTTCTGAGCTTGTCACAGCTTTCTTCATGCTGGGAATAACTGTCCCTATTGAATCTGGCTGGTGCAAAAGGGTGAGAATTTTCTTTCAGTTTGTTTTTGGTAAGAATACGCCACTATTCCCAAAGTTCTTCATGTAGTCAAGAGAGAGAACTTGAGATGTTTAAAAAGTCCAAGACGGGAGATCTGCCCATTCCTAAGCACAGCGGACTTCTGACCTCTTGGATATTCTAGCTGGATAATACTTCAGCACACCTTCTTTTCATTCCTCCTTCAAGAATAGAAGACTTGGTTGCACCTTGAGCCAGCCTTTCAAGACTATAAGAGCCTTGCTAGAGCAGATCAAAGGCATATTTAGTCCAACACTCTGTTCCCACACTGGCCAACTAGGTGCTTCCAAGAAGTCGATAAACTAGGTGCTTCCTACTCACATCCTCCCAAAACTATAATTCAGCAACGATCTGCCTCTGGAAGTGGAGCTAATTTCTGGCCACTATGCTCGATTCACATGCATAGCCTTATCCTCCATGGATTTTAATAATCCTCTTTTCAAGCCATCTGAAGCTGGCAGCCTTTACTTGTGGCAGTGAATTTCACAGTTTGACTATGCAGTTTGACTGTGGGGGAGGGCACAGCCCCCAAATCCATCAGGTCAAATAAGAACATCCCAAAGTAAGGCCAGTAAGCCAAGCCCTGAAGCCAAGTTTGGAAGCTTGGCTCAAGCAAGACATCTGAGCATGTTCAGTAAACATTCCAGGATATTTTTTTCTCCTGGTGTTCTGTCCCCAGTGAAGAGAACAGAAGGTCAAACTGGGACCCACTGGGACAATAGTGCATGCCTCCAAGCCAGTTCCTTGCTCTTTAAATTCCCGGCAATTGCATTTGAAAGCTTGATGTTACACTTTAGAGTATTTTTGTCAGATTTCTGCAAGGGACAAGCTCCAGGCTGCAGCCCAAGGCAAGGGTAGTTGGCCAAGCATATTAAAAGCAAGGATATGGTCTAAAATGCTCTAGAGTGGCCAGACACAGGTGCATTGTCAAAACCAGGCAAAGGTGAACATTCAGATTAAACCCCTACCTTGCAATAAATAACACAGTTTTTGAAGACACACTATTTCATTTGAAGTTTACTCATTCATGTCACATACACCTGTCATCCCTTCCCCCCCAGGTTGCTCTGAGTTGTTCCAATGTTCCCATAACAAGAAAAGAGATATCCAAATTTCCCTGTGTTTTTTTAAGGACCTCAGAAGGCTCTCCCTTCCCCCACACCCCACCTGTGCAAAATAATACCGAATGGAAGACAGTGGAGGAACAATAAGCTTGCACTCAGATAACTGGAATGAATTTCTCCAGTAGCATCTTCTCTCACTGGCAGCTATTCCCCTGCATCTGGAGATTGGGGTCCCTCTCCTATCAGAGATGCATTAGCTGGGAATATCAAAGGCTGAACATCAAACCTCCTCAGTGCTAACAAGTGCTTTGTACCACTGTGTAATACTCTTCTCCTCAGTGGCAGAAGCTATGGGGGCTAGAACTGGGCACAGAACCCTGGATCAGGGTTCTGTTACCCAGTGGGGCGAACCACTGGCTCCAATGTACAGCAGCCCAGTAGCTCAGAGTTTTGCCCAAGACTGCCAAGCTGTGGTTGATGCACACTACAATGTTATGTATGTATTTTTGTTTGCTAAATTTATATACCACCCAACCACCAGATGCCTTTGGAGTGATTTACAATAATGTATTCTTTAAAATCTAAACACAATAAATTAGCCACCAGCACGATAGATACAGGCATGAAAACATCCCATAAGGGCATCATGTAATTGAGGAATCACAAGGGCAGAGTTACGTCTATTGATGGGCACACCAGTTAGTATGTTGCCATCTCCATGGAGAAGTCTCAAGAATCTCAAAGAATTTCTGTCTTGAATTAGGGACAATGAAACCCATCACCTAGGGAGGTGGTGGGCTCCCCCACATTGGAGGCATCCAAGATACACCCAGACAGTCATCTGCTGGGGGTGCTTTAACCTGGACTTCTGCATAGATTGGACCCAGTGGCCTTCTTGGTGCCTCCCAGCTCTAATGTTCAATGATTCTATGACCTCTGATGATCACAGAAGACACTCCAACTGAGGACCCACCGTTGTCATTTAGGAGAACACAACTTGTAAAATTGGTACAACGGGTGCTGCAAAATCTGGCGCTGGCAACTTCAAACAGCCTGAAGGGCATTTCTACACACACACCCCAGGCCTCCACGATGGGCTTCACTCCACAGGTTCCATGCGGTCCTTTGGGCATCCTCAGCAAAAAGAATGGGGGGAGTGAATCACTGGTTTGCCACCGCATCTCAGCGGCAAACTGGTACATGGTGCTACAAAGGCTCTACTGACTGTATTTAGCTTGTTTCCCAGCTCAAGTAAAGCCTTTCAGGGGCAATGGACTGGGTTGGGGACTGCACAGTGCCCATGGGCCATATGTTGTTAAAAACCCACATTCCAGCCCTGTTTTTATTTTAAACGTACTGTAACTTGACTCATGGCCCCTGTCCAGTGCCAGTCTCCTCAATTTGTCCCTCCCAAGGTAAAAGGCTGAACTAGAGCTCATTTTCTCAATAGCCTCCTAGGGCTGGCACCCCTTTCCTGCATATCTTGTTCTGGGTTTTCCTTCTCCTAGTCCTGATGTTGACTTAAATGACTTTAAGGGGTGTGTGTGAGAAGGGGGGACACTAGACCCTTTAGATGCAATGTTTGCTTTCTTGTATGATCAAATCCTGGCTTAGCAACCCAACATTCCACCCTTAGGCATCTGTGAAAAATAGGTTCACCGTGTTCAAAAACGTTCACCTCTGTTCACTTGCCGAATTTGTCCCATCAGATACGTCTGGTGGCTCCTGCAGTTCCCCTACCTTGCATTGTCTTGCTCAGTGTTGGATGTCTTCTTGTCTTCCCTCAGCTTCCTTTATGACTTCTACCACTACTTCTACATGCTGACCAACATCCTCTTCTACGTCAGTTCAGCCATCAACCCAGTGCTGTACAACTTGGTGTCTGCCAACTTCCGCCAAATCTTCCTCTCCACACTCATGTTCATGTGCCTGCCCTGGAGGAAGAAGAAGAAGAGAACCAAGTTTAACAGGAAGTCGAACAGCATCTCCAGCAACCATACTTTTTCCAGCCAAGTCACCAGAGAAACCACCTACTGAGAACGAAGGAAAGAACACCGTTCCCAGTTCAGGACAGAATTGGGACTCGTGAAGAGGGCTGTACTGCTTTTCTACATGGCCTCCAAATGCACCATAGCATGACTGTGTCTAGGTGGTT